GAAGTTCAAATTTTACAGTAAAATCTATCACTATCAGTTTGACAGAGAAAATTTTTTCTCCGCAACTGGCAGTCTCACCTTGACAGATAAAATATTTTTGATAGTTACTAATGTTATGGAGGTTTCCACTGGTTGCACTAGTGCGCACTGAAAATATCTCTGTCCTTTTCTATAATTATGTCTTAAAATGAAACAGAGATACACTCAATGCGCACAAAGTAAAATCGTCATTGGTGTCATTTGGATAGTTTGAGTATTTTTGATAGCTTCTCCTGTTGGTATCATTTTAACAGTTATAAAATAAATTTTGAACAATTATAGAAGTTCCATTTGACGTTTCACAACTTTTTTTAGTACTTTAACTTTTTTTATTGTAAAATCACGTGTAGCTAAGATAAATACGAAATACCTATTGCCATTTAATAATATTACAACTTCCAATTCTTCTTTTTCGATTTTTATCGGACGTAATAAAAAGTATTTTTAACTTTCGACTCTACATTTTCCGTTCTCAGAAATCATAATTAAAATTACCTATCACAACAACACCTCACTCAGGGAATGAGTAATACTAAAACTAAATTATCATGTTCATACTGTTTTAAAGTTTGTAACTCGATTTTTTTCTATGATGTAGTAAAATGAATAAGATATATACGATATTTTTCTATACTAGTACATTCAGATTCAGATAAGAATGACGGTATAAAATATAAAAAACTATAGGTATATATTATATGTTTTTGAAAAAAATGCTTATGTAATACCCAATAATTATTTTATTATTATTTTTTTCTAGAAATGCATAAATATGAAGCAGTAAGGTCAGGTTTTTTAATACATCTATAATATAAATGAGATATACGCGTACGAGACAAATGAAGCAAATGAGACAAGTGAGCAAGCAATTCACAAACATTAATTCGTTTCGATTGTAATATTGCTTTTTCAACTTCAATAGAATCTTTATTTTAAAGCTTTCTTAGTGAGTTCATTTAATTGGTAAAATGTGCGTGCAATCGAATACTAAAACTTTACTGGAAAGTTTGTGGTGATAAAATCTTTGGATTCATTTAATTAGCCCTCAAAGCTTACCTCCTAAACTTTTCACTTACTCTATACTTTTAGTTAAAGAATATTCTTTTATTTGTCTTTTAAACTTTAACTGGTATTTAATTCGCAATTAGTACTAAGTAACTAGTATTACCATAATTTTATTTAAGTAGCGGAAAACATACTTTTCGAACACAAAATGGTCAATAATAAAATATCTATAACTAAGTAAATTAAAGCATGATTATAAGAACCATGCCAGAAACAATTAACAATATAATACAGCAAATAGAGTAAAGAATAATCGACACAATTTGCCAAGTGTCAAAACCATCCGGACCTCACTGGTTGATAATGAAATCACATATGCATATTATACAGCTTTTCAAAAATATGCCAACACGTCAAATGTGTGAAAATTATTTATTAAAATTTTTAAATCCGATGAATCTTTGGTCAAGAAATATATGATTGAAATTTAGAAAATGGCCACGGCCTATCTCGCTTTTTTTGTTATTTTTATCTTGAAATTATTCATTAAATGCGTTTTTAGATAAAATGGATGGGTTCCTTTCACCTTTGTTTTCGCATTTGGTAGTTGAACATGTTCAAAATCATTGGGGAACTAGAGCTCTGAGTCCCCACTGGTATGGACTGAGGGCTACAAAGGGTGTGAAGTGGAGACGATAATTAGTATTTTCCGGAGTCCAGAGTAGTGCGGAGTGTCCATGTTGATAACTATCAATATATCAATAACTATTGATACATCGATAACTATCAATATGTCAATAGCTATCGATGTCGATAACTATCAATATATCGATAACTACTATTGTCGATAACTATCGGTGTTAAAAATTCTCGATATGTCGTTATTTATTATCAATTTGCCAATATCTGAATTTTTACTTGACTGTAAATCACTGTTAAAGTTTTCTATTTATGAGAATAAAAGAATGAAAACAAATAATTCATCTTAAATATCATACGGATTTAATATATAAAAAAATACGGGCAAAACTGATGCGTATTTTTTTTATTAATAATACATACGTATATTTTATTTGGTGTCATTTTATGAAACTGAATAATTATATTTACCATTAATGAAAAAAATACGCATCAGCCTTGTCTGTAATTTTATGTATTAGATCTATATGGTATTTAGGTGAATCATTTATTTACCTTTTTTTAATATTACTAACAGAAAATTTTTAACAGTGATTTATAGATTTAAGTTGGACACTTGGTGAAAACGCACTCTTAAAACGTCTTCAAATTTCTCGGCAACGAGAACACCAGGATCATTTGTCATATTTACATTGTTCACTATATCAAAAGATTCGGATAAAGATAACTAGTAAAGAACGTCTCACTTTTGACATTGTATACGCTTGCGAAAATATTATATTATAATCTCTGTTCGCATGTACAATACTCATCAGTTTAAAGTCACCACCTTCCGAGATGCTCTCCTTCTAGCACGCCTCACTACAAATAGTGGTAGAAAGAGAACATATGAAAAGGTGGTAACTTTAAGCTGATGAGTGATGACTGATGACTGATGAGTATGGTACATAAGTACTTCAACAGCGTCAGTGTTTGACTGGTCAGAGTGGAAACCTGTTGATATGCGAAGTACTCAACGCATGCCACTCTCACTCTGCGTACATTACAACTACTGTACATTGAAGCTGCGTTACAATAGTCCGTCTTTAATTATTATCAATGTTGACAACTATCGATGTCGATAACATTCGATATATTAATAACTATCGATAGATCGATAATTATATCAATAACTGCCGATATATTCTCAATTATTGATATTTGATTACAAATTTTCATGATCTTTATCTAGTCTGGAAGCTCATAACTTAGAGAAATTATTTTGCCATTCTGAGACGGAATTTGGTTATTGTTTTCGCAAGTCTCTAATGTTAATAATAGATAATACTGACGTAGTTTTCCATAAAACAACAAAACACTATATACTGCACTCAACGTTGGTTTAAGGATTGTCGGCTCAGTGGCTCAGTGCTTATACGTTAGGCTTAACACCGAGGGGTGTCAGGTTCAAATCCTGGCTAGGGCATGGATGTACAATGGCGTTTTTAAAATACCGAGTTGGCTGGAGCATTGTTGTGTGGTAGAACACGGTTAGTCACTGTCCATCTCTCCTGAGTTCGATTCTCAGCTGCGGTATCTAACAATGTGGTGAGAAATGGTTGTTGTGTGTCTGTACTGGTTAAGTGGTGGAATAATTATTATTCAAATCATAAAATTTTACAATTCACCTCGAATTTTAGTATAAATTATAAACAATTTAGATCACCATGGGGTGTTCCAAAAAAGCAGGCGACATGTAAAGATCGGAAGGTAACGATAAATGACATCAATTCCAGGGTTGAAGCTAGATGATGTGTCACAGCATAAATATATTCATGCATATATAACACAATCTTCTTACCTTGAGGTTATTTTGATGAGTTCGGTAACATCCAAAGTTAATACAAAGAGGGCTGAAAGTACTGGTGAATGTTACATACACATGTATTTTTAACTAGTGATCACAAAAATAAAAGTTAATTACTAATATTATGCATCCACTAAAACATTTGCCACCTTCCAGTCGCAAGCATTGGTGGTTTGTTTTATCCACACTAATCCAGCGTATCTGTAATTCAGTTCAGAATATTTTTTTTATTTCCGTTGACACTTGAACATTGCTATACTGCCCGCTAATATACTTTTGCTAAAATTAAACGAGACTTTTTAAAAAAGGTCTCCATTGTCATTAATTTCGCACTCTTTACGTATCTACATGTTATTCACATAGACGTTATATAAGTGTATTCCATAGTGTATTCATTTTCAATGAGGCAGTGGGCGTAAACATGAGCCAATAAACGCGATGCGCCTATATCTATCTATGAATTGCTATTGAACACTCGACAATAATTATTTTCGTCAGTTGGTAATTGTTTTTTATAGCTGCAAGCCATCCAATTACCCGATAAAAACCATTAGTTTTTGTTCCCATTTTTATGAAGAAAACAAATTCATTGCATATTACGTAAAAATATTTTATTATTTCATACTGTTTGGGAGTGTTTCATTGGGTGTTTACAAATAACAAACACTACACCTATGTAAAAGTCGATTCTGGTATTTATCGCTACCTCTCTATCCCTATACGATAATATTTTATTCCTGATTTCTCAAAAAACTGCATTATCAATAAACGTTGATGCATTCATTGAAACTTGAAAATCGCCACACAGATTTGTCATTTGATTGATTGTCAGTATGGCAGGAAATTACCAAATATTGAATTTGACCCAGGATTAAAGTCCGTATGGTAAATATTTTAGTAACAATATATATACTAGTTTTTTGATATTAATAATGATTATAAATATTTTAAGAGATTAATATTTCAAGAACATAAATCTTATCATTGCTCATTATATTATTAAATTATATTCCAGCTTTAAAGTTTCTTAAATTAAAAAAAATTTCTTTTTCAATATGCAGTCTACATTTTACCAATGTAACACTTTCATATCATTCTTATTTTTCAATTTATGGACTAAGTACGTCAACTGCTCAGAAATTTAAAAAAAGTAGTAATACTAACAGCAGCATTGTTATTTGTTGGCCAAGAGGAAAACTATTATTAAACATTATTGAGCCAAGTGAGATTTCATGACGGAACTGTTTTAATTACACCTAGTGAAAATCATGAAAGTTATATAATAATTGACTACTTAAAAAATGTTTTCTTAACCGTCTCTCACGTCACCGAAGTAACACCTAGAAAATCTTATGATTTTGTGTTGAGTAATGAGAGACGAGGCCCTACAGTTTATTGTGGAGTCCAAACCACATCTATGGCATCGACAGTTCACTCCCATCTTAATCCGAAACAAATTACAAATAAAATTTGTTGTACGGGATGGATTCGAACCATCGATATTCGGTACCGAGTAAATAGCTATAAACGCTTTTACCACTCGGCTACCATGCCCTACTATTAGATGTAAATAAATTTATCCTCACAATAAAGAAAAAATATAAATTTTCTGCAAAATCTATTAATTTTCTAGGACACACGATAACGAAATAAAGGGTGTAAAACCTCTGGAATATTATTAAATTACTTATTTCTGCTACCAAGGCTCAATCACTGATGCCGAGAGATAAGTTCGTCAGTGCTTTTATAGGCATCCGCGGAATTTTTATCGAAATTCCACTCTGTTGTGGGAAAAGGAACTTTAACTTTTTTACATCCTAGATATAAAGAACTCGTAGTTTTACATCTCTTACGAACAATGGTGAGGTGCTTGGTCCGGCTTGGATATAAGGAACTATCCGTCACATCACAATATTTTTTCCTAAATAATATTTGTAATTTATTTTTGACACAGGCGTGATTGATCATTATTTCAAAGAGATCTGAAAATTCTCTGAGGAAATTAGCCCTCTGGTATTCAATGTAATGTTTCCTTATCTTCAACTTTCAACGTTTAAATCAGACATTGCTAGCTTATCAATATTGCTGACAATGCCATATTTAGATACTGTAGTTAAGTCAGAATTCTCAATAGGGGTATATTACACTTAGTGAATTAGGGAGGCATGTGACGTCACTTCCAATAACTGTGGAGAAACAAGCATACGCCATTGCATAGTATTAACATGGGAGGAGACATTTCACGGGGAGAGTACTTGTTGTTGTCATTAATAACTGCAGATACTAATAAAACTTTGCCTGATGTGTCAACTGAAAAATTGGGAAGGTATTTACAGCATGTATTTCTTTGTTAAACTAAAACCTAGATTCCGTAAAATCAATAACTAAATCTATCACATTTACTCTTCCATGAATAAAATATATATTTTAAATACAAGTAGTGAATTTTCACGGTTTTCTTTTGTATTTGGTTCTACTGATATCACTTCTTCAACTATTATTAAAAACAATCAACTGTTTTCTATTTTGAAATGCAATCGATATGTTCATCCTATGAAGCAAAGTGGTTCTTATCGCAAGCATTTTTATTCCTGCTAACCAATAACGACTAATTGTACAATGACTTACTACCCTCAGGAAAATAGATATACTGAAAGATATAACTGTATTATATGGAAAACGTTTTATTGATTTGAAATAGGAACAGCTTGGTGGAAAGCAAAAGGTTTTGTAATCCATAAAGTCGTTGCTTTCTAACTTCACTTAAAAAAAAATTTTAACCAACAATTTTCCTCGGATTTTTTCTCATGACTGCTTTGCAGTGCCCTGGTTATTTCTTTCCGATTCAGTACTTATCAGTAAACACAACAGAGGTAATGAATATGAACCTTTAGAAGACGAAATTAATTGATTCAAATAGTGAAAATTCTTAATTCGTCTGAAAAATGATACTAACAACTTAATGCCAATTTATTGATCACTAACAATCGTAGGCGCCATTAAAAATTTTTTTTCAAAAAAAAGCAAAACATGTTACATAACTATTAACTTATAAAATCGAGATATATTTGTTTGTGTATAGTTTATTAAAGTACTTAAACGAATACAGTAATATTGAGAAAAAGCTATTATAATAAAATGTTTACATGTTTACATACCTATGACGATAACGTTATTTCGAAAATCATACTAGGAACTTTTAGAATTTGTAAGTCGTTACATTATGTTAACTGATGTAAAACTGCTTATAATAAATAAAGGTAAAACATAGTAATAGGTATGTCACATTTACCTGCATAATATAATATAAAAATACTGAAATTTTAATATCGAATATAGGTTACTAGTTTATACTGAATCTATAAATGGAAATTTCTCTATCTCCATATTTTCAGATACGCTGAACACGAATCTAAAATTATTTTACCCCAGAGACACTTTCTAAGATGTGAAGTTTCAAATTAATGGCCCTTATCGCAGGTTGCAATGAAGCTTATATCTGGACAAAATAATAGGAATGTTGACGCGACGTTTCTTAAAAAAGATGAAAAGTAAAAATATGATATATTGTGTGTATTAATTTTTGTGTAATAAAAGTACAAAGTTCAACTCCACAGCGAACACTGTCTGCAAATGTGAGATCTATTGTAATCTATAATTATAAGTCACTATTTTGTGTTAAATTTTTGATAAACACAACTAAATAAACATGGTTTTAAAAACACTGCATTATTTTATATATTGATCACAAACTAATATTTTGTGAAACATCACGAAACTGTAGGAGTGGGAGCAGGATTGTTCAGGGCAGCAAAATGAGCCGCAGATGAACTCGGTCTCGCATTTGACATCAGGCGAGGAGGCTGGCGAGGTGCTGATGTAGAGTCAGTCACCGAACTTCAGCCAAATCGTCTGAAAGCCCGAATCAGGAAAATCTGTTTCGGCAGCACGTCGATAAACCCCAGCATGGTGTCTTCTATAAGAACATAGAAACACTGGGCTTATCGACCAAGCTGACATTCGCCTTTCTAAGGTTAGCCGGGCTTAAGTCAGAGACAGAGGGATTCATTATTGCCTGCCAAAATGGTGTTATCAACACCTTGGTCTACCGTAGCCGCGTGTGGCATGTAGAGGTTCCTGATATCAACTGCAGGACCTGCCATCAGGCGCCGGAATCGCTCAAGCACCTACTATCTGCATGCCCCATATATGCGATTTCGGCCTACATCCACCGACATAACGCGGCGTTACGAGTGCTATACTACCATCTAAGGCACTCGTACGAGGTAGACCAGACACCAGTGCTGCCTTACGTCACCGGAGATATTCAGTCCGTTGTCGAGAACGAGAAATGCCGGATTTACTGGAACTACTCGTTCCCGAGGCAACGGTCAGGCTATTTCAAGCCAACAAGCTTGACATAGTCCTCCTCGACCGTCAACTTAAGATGATGTATGTCATCGAGTTCTCGGCACCTGCAGCGAAAAACATCAGGAGGAGGAGAAACGGAAAAAATACCGCGATCTCCGGTGCGAGCTCCAAGTGCTGTACCCAGGCTACTCGGTAAAAATGGTCATCCTAATAATCGGTGTACTCGGAGGGATAAAGCCTACGCTACTCTCGGAACTAAAGATCATACCGACCCGCCAAAAGTCAGCCGAATGGTTGGCAGGCCAAATTTAGAAGGCAGTCATTCTGGGTTCTTTCTGCTTAGGGCACACGATTCTGGTATCTACAGTCACTAACCCTGCGAAATGTGGGAAGTGGCTGTAGTTAATGCACCGGCGCGACTCCCGTGAGGCGTCGGAGGCCACGGGAGGACTGTCGGGCATCGGATATTCCGAAAAAAAATAAAATAAAATAATAATAATAATAATACGTCCTTATTAATGAAACAATTACATTTCATTAAGAGCGAAGTTTGTAGTCCAATGACTACACTCCTCCACTTAACCCTCCCTTTTTAGGATTTTACAATATGTTATGTATTTACAAATTTCTTGTATTTTCTTATAATAACACAAACATATGTCTATACATATCACACATACACAATATCATATACATATACACATACACATGTATACAAATACAAACACTTGATGAATAACAAATGAATAGCATTGTAGGAAAAAGATCATCTAAATATTGCCGTAGCGTTGTTTGGCATTGTAAGAATTTGACAATGCCTAATATCACGAATGTGAATATCATCCTTAGACAACAACTTTTTATGTAAATATGTAGGCGTAGATGTTTATAGCAAACAATGTACAAAGGTAAGTAAATGATATTTATAATTATTATCCATATTTAACCAGTTTAATTGCCGAAATTTTTCTGAGATGTGATCAAATTTCCTCAGATTATTAATGAATCGACAGTATGTGTTCTGTACTTTTTGAATGCGACTTTTGGTAGCATAATCCAGGCACGGGTAACATACAATATCGGCATAAAAGAATATTGGAAGTACAATTGATTCACATGATTTTTTACTTGTTTTATAATTAAGAATTTGTGTATTTGAGTATAGTAGTTTTAAACTAATATAAGATTTTTTTATTAAATTATTAACATGGTCGCTAAGTCTTAAGTAAATATCAATTACAACACCTAAGATTTCCATTTATTTGGTAAAAATCTTTTACTAGTGGGCAATCGCAATTAAGCGAGAGAATGATGACTTTTGGTATCTTTTATTTAGGTATTACTTTTAATTATTACTATTTGTAAATTATTTCCACGTTTCTATTGGAATGTTTTTGGTATTTTAATTTTTATTACACCTCTTTATTAGTAAAGTTCGCTTTGCCGGAGCATAGTTCCAATTTATTATATTGCAATTGACACTGGTAGATGGAGTTTTATTAACTCGTTAGTACTCTACTGTAATTATAGACTTATGATTCCGAGATCCTCTCGTTGAAGTTGTGTGTACGTACTTCGCACTGACGAAGACGACGACCAGAAACCAGTCTGGGAATAGTACCGATGCGATATAGTGTTGGGCGATACTCTGAAAAGTATCAATACCGTGTATCGATCTGCTTCATATTGAAAAGTAGCAATATGTGTATCGTATCGTTTTCAAAGTATCAATATTCGTAATATTGAACAAATTTCGATTAGGAATTGTTTTATACAAATAAAAGCTTGAAATGCTAATTGCTGTTCTATAATTCAAATTGTGGTTATTTATGCATTATTATGTGGTAATTGCAGTAAAAATATTGATAAACAAAATTCAAAACAAAAGAACCTGTAATTTGAATAATTATATAATAGCATTGTGGGTCTGTAGATGACAGTAATTGTATTTCTGATCATAGCTGAGTTATGTATTCACTATCGAATTTTTCTAATACTCTATTATGAAATAATATAAATTATTGTTCAATACATTTTATACGATACGCGCCTTTAGTGAATCGTTCCACCGATATATCGATACACGAATATCAGAGCCTAAAAAGATCGATACCAAAATGTATCGATACGTATTGCCCAACAATACTTATAGCGTGTGTAGCTAGGCTACTTTATTTAATTCT